TTCTCTTTTTTAAACATTTAAATTTTTACCGCAAACCCGGCACTCCGTCCCGGCCCGGTTAACCCCCCCCCCCCCCCCCCCCCCCCCCCCCGCGGGTCAGAAATGCAGATTTTCATCAAAAATATCGATTTTGCGAAAAGCACATGGTTGGATAGCCCAAAGTGTCTACTTTCTAATGGCATAATTTTTGTGTCGATAGGATAGATTTTTCATAGTTTTTAAGCGAGTTTTCCAGAAATCTTACAGCAACAAAAATGGCATTTTTGCACTTGCATTTCATAAGCGCACGCATGTAGCGCACATGTCCGCGTACGTATTCATTAGATCTGCCATGACCGATAACTTATAACAAAGTATCAACAAATTATTCAAATAGTTTTTAAGTAAAACACATTTAACAGTACCAAAACTTATTTTGCGTTTTCTCAAGGCTGTGTTTTAGCTTTAGAACCTTGGTCATGTACAGGAATTCTCCGATATATCAAGAAAAGAAATTTTTTTTGATTTGTAAATAACACCTATAGTTAGGACTTGACAGAGTCCGATTTTTAGATTATGCTTTCAATTTTTTATAGAAATGAGGATTTCTAAGAAACCTTCTGAGAAAAAATGGACTGTGTCAACTCCTAGCCATAGGTGTTTATTGCAAAACAACAAAAGCCTGAGCTTTCTATCATTTACCTGGAATGAGAATTCTTGCACGTCGTAGACACCTACTTTTGGCCCTTGTTGTGAGGTCCTCTCACAAACAGGTGTAAGTGGCGCCAAAAAAATTTCGTTACCACACTTTGACATGGTCAACATTCCCTGAAAGTTTAGTTCAGATCAGATCTACCTGGGCTGAGATAGGTTTCTAACCTGTGGGGGGGAGAGGAGAACCTTAAAAAATCCCAGAAGAATTAGCCATCAGGTAGTAAAAGTATGGAAAAGACTCATATTATAAAACTTTTATGAACGAAACTTACCTTTGTAATGTATCCGTTCACCGTATAGACTATTTTTGAGCAGTTGCAGATACAGTAAGTGGCGCAGATTATAAAAGTTATTTTTCTCTTCCTAATACACATTGAAACTACATATATTAATCATAGGTCAATGCGTTCCACTTCACTGACAAGAAAGAGAACGAGCAAGGGAGGCACATACAGTTGAATCTGGAAGAGACTAGTTATCCAAACTCGTAAAAAGATATGAGTTGATGATCGAGGTCATTATTCAATTAAATTTATTTTCAATGTGTTTCGATAACACCATACAGTAACAATTATATTACTAAATAACAAATAAATAAAATAAATAACAACTATTTATCACAGTAATCTAAAGATTGTGTAATCTTCATTCCATTATATAAATGAAACTAAAAATACAGAAAAAAACTTTCATAAAAAAAATAATGTATCAGCGACGGGATAAAAATATATAATATAATTCATAATAATAACTGTTTCTATAATCAATGTAAGCATACTGTTCTATGTAAAGCAATGAATATTTTGTATAACAAACAACAGCTAGAGTATAATCTCTCAACTTTTTAGTAATCTGAGATAAAAAGACAAAGGATCTTGCCGAATTTGAAAATTACAAAAAACTAGCAAACCGAATATATGGTTTTGTAGAGAATTTTATGGTGCATCTTTTAGCCCTCTTATTTTTATTTAGTTCTTTATATTTAATGAGAGAAAGTGAAAATATTAAGTTTAGTCAATTATGACACCGTCTCAGTATAAACTTTTTTCCTCCTTAGCCATTAACAAGTAAGCTTTACTTCTGATTGGATTTTGACCATCAAATTAAAATTGATTTTTCTCATTTGCATTACGTCTTTTTGTAAAAGTAAGAGAATATTCTTGATCCTTGGACAAAGTAGAATCGAATGGTATATTATTCGAATATAGAAAAGAAAACAACAATCAGTCAACTCTCCCTGTAAAAAGTTCACAAACAATTTTGCAAGCCTATCTAATTTTTTCTTTGAAGAGATGAAGTCGATTTTTGTACTTCCTTAGAACCGCTATTGAACGAGCTTTAAAAGTACATATCGCCTGTTTTTTCATTGTGCTGTCACTCAGGTAGTTCATATTTTCTAAATAAGGAGCGCAAAAATCGGAATTCTGCCCTTAATTCTCAATTTTACTCATCAGAATGCAAGTCGTAGCAGATTTTCTTGTTAACGAAGAAAGAAAATATGCTGATGTTTACGCTTAAATCGAGAGTATTTATAATGAGTAATCAACTATTGCTCATTATGCAGCACTAAATCAGAGCTCAGACGCTTTCCTCTTCGTTTCCACATGCTATTATCGTTATGAGCATACATCAAATGGTGCTAATTGTTTATCTCATTTCCAGAGCAATAAATTTTCGAATTTGGGAGTAAAAGATTTGAAAAAGCAGCGAGGGGGATCTCCCTCCCTGCTCCCGTTGTCACGGCATCTCTGAATGTCAAAATTGACTAAAACTTAATATTTTCACTTTCTCTCATTAAATATAAAGAACTAAAAAATAAAAGGACTAAAAGATGCACCATAAAATTCTCTACAAAACCATGTATTCGGTTTGTTGGTTCTTGTAATTTTCAAATCCGGTAGGGTCCTTATCTACGTCCAATCATATTTTATTTATTTTATTTTTCTTGTAAAATAAGAAAGATCACCTTCAAATCGTCGTACTTCAGCTATTTGTTGTTGAATCGATGAAAACATATCGCTAAAATATCGAAAGAATGATATTAATATTTTAATTCAAAGCATGAAAGACTTACTAGGGTGCTGGATCACTTTTATCAGCAATACGTTGACTTTGATAAAAGAAAAATGTTAAAACAGTTACCATTGCACTTTGATCATAACGATGTGTTGAATGTGTTAAATTTGTATTTTTACAGTAAGTCTTGGCATTATTTGGTATCAAACATGTGGCATCTAAAGCACACGTAATCCATGTTTTCATCACCAGTCGTGATAGAAAATTATCTTGAACAAATAAGAAACCGGCTTCTGCGACATAAACGTCGTCAAATGTTGAGGAAGACTCGTTAAACCATGTAAATAAATTACTGAGTGTATAACACGGCAAATAATGACCGGGTAATTCTCGACATGAAAACCCACGAACAACATTGTCTATTAGCAAATGATCAAAATTATTTGTCTTATAGCGAACTGAAGTATCACCATAGATAACGGCACCATAACGTTTCAGAGCATCCTAGAATAAACGTTATGCAGATTGACACGTAGTAAAACTGATCAAATTATTAACAATTCTTATCAAATCTTTCATCAGATGTTTTGTATTAAAGGTTTCTACTCGAAACCGCACAGTAATGAGTCCCTACTATCAAACTTGTGATGATTTACCGCGAGTGTATATGAAAGATGTTTTAGGTTTTGTGAATAGAAAAAGTAGATAGAAGCTGAATGCTTCTGAAAGTCGGTGAGATCTGACTATGTCCATCGTGTAGTAATACCAAAAATTGTGAAAGTTCTTATTAAAATTATGCTCAACATGATAGCCTTCAGAAATTGGACTTTTTAAGGGTGAATAGGATAACGAACTTTCAGCCTTGATTGAAACTTTTAATCGTTTCTATACTTATCAAACATCTCATTTGCAGAAAGCAGTTAGCTTTTCTGGTCTACGGGACCAGAAGGTCTCGAACGCAGATCTCAGATCAAAACTTCGAAAAGTAGTTCTGTCAGACACGAGATGGTTGATTGAACGTGACATTGAAAATGTTAGTTTACACAGTAAGATATCAGTTGGTTCATTTTCGAATATCGAGGGTAGTACCTGTACGACCAACGGTTTCCATGCGAAGTTGTCTAAAGTTTGAATATGTGGAGATTGTTTTCGAACAATATCGAACGGAAATTGAATTACTGTACATTGACTACCATTCCTTTCACAATTTTCTTTTATCTAAAAAAACAAGACCAAATCAATAAAAAAACTAATTTATCCTACTTCTATATCGTAAAATGTCAAAAAGAGTAGTTTAGAGCCTTTTGTTATCACACAAGCTCGAGCTGTACAGGTGTGTGGACCACTAACAGTAGTCGTGGAGAGTGATGTGTTCGGGCGTCTGAAATGAAAGTGTTTTCTCTATCTTAATCTTAGTTTATCGGCTAGAAAATACCACTTTTCTATAAATGCAAAGAACATTGTCAAAGAAAAACGTTTAACTGGAGATACATCTGTGAAGAGTCGTACGTTAATATCGATGCAGAACAGATTGTTTTAACATATATCATTGTTCCATTTCTTCCGTTAGAATCTTAGCTGATGATCAAATAAATACGGTTATTAACGGTCGTGAATTATCACAAGGAAAACTCGATCAACCAGTCCTTGAGTGCATTCAATGAAAACATACATTAGTACGTACAACAGAGAGACTGAATTGTATACACAACTAACTGTATGATTTGGTCGTCGAAAGAGGCAATTTGAGACTTTGATGTTCATCTCATCTACAGTTTGTGATAGATAAAAACTAGTGTAACCAAGATTTTGCTTATAACAATGTACTCATATCAGATTGTCGAGTAGAGAAGTATTGCATTATACGCTCATAACATTTGATGAACCCATTGAAATCACCCGGGATCCTAAATTGTTTTGTATAATATATAGTAGTGTTGTGGAACAATTTTATGGATGTTGATGTTCGTGTAATCATTTTTGGACGATAATTGTTACCTTAACCAGAAATTCATTCATTTTCATATCACATCAACTTTTTGCGGATGAATACAGTGCGACACATTGAAATAAAGTCAATCGGTAAATTTTATAGTTTATGAATGATTGTAAGGAAATTTCTTGTTCAATGTTAAAATGGTCTGTTGCGTTTTTTCTGTTGATAGAATATATAAACAGAATAAGAAATATAAATGCAACGATTACATAATTCATAATAATAGTGAATTATATATTTTAGAAGTTCTTTGTCTTTGTGTGTATAATCTATCAAATTTTAACAATTGAAAACAACATATCTTTACTGGAACATTAACATAGATTTGATTTATTTATTAGATGAAGATATATTGCCATTAAACCAATTTAATTTAATCGAGATATTAATGAAGAATCGAAACGTAAATACCACTATGAAAAACATTGTACATATGAACTGGTGTTCACATTAAATGTATGTGTTGTGCTTTCATGTCCACATTTGAAAATAGTCGGTGATATCAGGGTAAAAAGTTATGAAATAATAGAGGTCTTTCATCTTTAAAAAAGTCGAAGAAGTGATAAAGATTCTCCGATTGTTTTTAAATTCCTTTTAGCTGCATTCTCACTGATGCATTAAAATGATGATGTCCAAAAATGTTTGATGGGTACATTTATTTCATAGATATAATAGTGATTGTTGTGAAACTGCTTACCTCGTATGTTCAGCACAGAGAAATATCATCATAAGTATTCACCTTTCATAATTTCGGAAAAGTAGGAAATAGCAGTCACTATTGACCAAATTATTGCTTATTTTATTTTCTATAATAATTCTTCTTTTCAAAATTATCATTCTCGCCTTTTTGCGTGCATAGTTATGATGCATGTATAAAGACGAGAATGACACTTTTAAGAAAACGAATTAATGCAACGCCAATACGTTTTTTGTTCGTAGAACGATCTTTTATATACATATATATGTTACGGCGGAATTAAAATCTCAATTTTCAGTGGATTCTTGTCAGTGGAAATTGAAATTTTAAGTTCAACTAGTGGAGAATATAATTTTAATCTCCACTATAGTGAGATTTTAAATTCCTCTAGGCAAAAATGACTAACACTCATATTTCAATCTGCACTATAGTGGAAGTGATAATTTGACCGATATGATGCTAATAGTAAAAGGAATACCCTTTTTTTATTGAAAATATTACCAACAAGCACATAAATATTTTTTTAACAACATGAGGCATTTGAATACACTTTTTTTAAGTGATATTTTGTACAACATTTCAAGCCACGAAATGTCCAACACGGTAATGGCATTTTTTGACTTTTCTGAACAGTTGTTCATATATAACAACAGGTTGATTAATTTTAATACCATAAACCACATTCGTTTCGCCAATTTTTACCAATTTGAAATGCATTTTTACCCAAAACTTGAATTGTGCAGTGCCCAACCATCACGTAATGTCAAAATAATATCATCGTACATATCTTGCTTGATTGTGTGTGTATTTATCACGAAATTTTCCATTTAATTTGAGTATGTGCGCATCGAGTTTTTCATAAAATCTCTCCATTATGACTTATAACTAACTGTGTGAACTTCTATACTACCTAAATCTATAAGTATTTCTTTCCTTTCCTTTCTTTTACTATTTTGATTTCCGCTATAGTGGAGATTGAAATATGAGTGTTAGTCATTTTCGCCT